CTAGTCAAAAGTAATGAAAAGCTATCTAAAGGCCAAATGTAGCAAAAAGACTAGCTAAAAGTCATGAAAAGTTATCTACAGGACGAATGTAGAAAAAACTAGCTAAAGCAAGAAAAAGCTAAAATTAACATAAAGCTAGCTAAAGTCTGAAAATAGCAAAAATAAAAGTTAAAAGTAATGAAAAGCTAGGTAAAAGCTAAAAGTAGCGTTAGGGTAGCTAAATGCTAAAAGTAGCAAAAACAACTAAAATTAATGAAAATTTATCTAAAGGCCACATGTAGCAAAAACTAGCTAAAGTAATAAAAGCTAAAAAAAAAATTAAAGTAGCATAAGGCTAACTAAATGTTAAAAGTAGCAAAATACTAGCTAAAAGTAATGAAAAGCTTTCTAAAGGCCAAAAGTAGCATAAGGCTATCTAAAAGCTGCAAAATGCTAACTTAGTTTTAAGTTTCAAAAAGCTGTCTGAAATTTGAGTAGCAAAAAGCCTGCTAAAAGAACAGGTAAATGTAGCCAACGACTAGGTAAATGTAGCCAACAACTAGGTAAATGTAGCCAACAACTAGGTAAAAGTAGCCAAAGATTAGATAAAAATAGCCGATTAGGTAAAAGTAGCCGAAGACTAGGTAAAAGTAGACATAGAATAAGTAAAAGTTAAAAGTAGCCCAATAAAAATCAAGCCCCTGCAGCAAGCAGCCATTGGGCACTAATGACCAGTTGTTAGGATAATGGGCCTCCTTTATCACGTGAACAGCTAGTTCTGGATGTCAGCAACAAACTGGTTGATCCACTATTGAGACTGTGCTGACGGTGCACACGACTGTTGCAGCTCATCAGACTGACAAAGTCTTTTGGATAAAAGACGAAATGTTTCAACAAATTTTTATTATTTATTTTTTTTTTAAATCTGAGGACCTGCTTTAAATTTGTTAGATTATTGTGAATGCTGAGTGAGCATTCACACCAATATAACTCATTTTGCAAACTACCCTGTAGCCTATGGTAACAAAACAAACAACCCATTTTGCATTTCCAGCAACATGTTTTGAAACAAGATGGGGTGCAGAGGCATGTTTACCACCACTGTGTTGCATCACCATTTTTCTTAACGCAGACTGTTCAGGCTTTAGCTAAAAAAGGCCAGTTGTTTTGTTAAAACCACAGTGTTGTCTCCTTGCTTTAAAATTGGATTTAAGTACAGAGCTTCTATACAAGGACAGTTACGTCTGTGTGACTGCTAGTCCAGGAATTATATTACCACAGTGTTAAACTGTTGTCCAACAAGGTTGAGCCAGGTCATCTGGAAGGATTCTTGTTTGTTGAAATGTTTCTTCTTTTATCCAAAATACTTCTTCAGTTTGAGGAGCTCCAACAAATGCAGTATAAGCAGGACCTTCTCACAGTGGATCAACCAGTTTGCTGTTGACAGCCAGAACCAGCTAAAAGAACATGCAAAAGAAGGACCATCAGCCTAACAATGGATCGTTAGAGCCCTAACAAACTGGTCATTAATGTGATGGCCGCTTGCTATTCACAGATGTCTGAGTCATACTTGCAATAACAGCATCGCAAGAGGAGGACAAATGAACAAGGAGACCCCCACCCATGTTTAATGATGTTCTCTTCACAAAGATGGCTTCCTTCACTCCTCTCTCAAACCATTGCTCCTCTCTATCAAAGATGTGAACATCTTCATCCCTGAAAGAGTGACCGCTGGCAAACTGCTGATATACCTTAATGGCATTGCCTTAATATAAAAAGTAATAAATACCAGGGTGGCATCCAGATGTGTGAAGCACCCTAACATCATAGTTATTGAATTTTGACCTGATAAAAAGTACTTCATTAGTATTTTTTCAGGCCAGTGGGATGCTGCAGCTACCTATACGTCAGACCACACTGCAGTTCTTAAATTTGCTTCAATCAACATAAAAAAGACTGTGATCAAAATTGAAAATTGTATAATCATTCTGGTATTGGGTGCAGTTTTTTTTTTTTGTTAGTTTGTTTTTGATGAAAGAAATTAAAACGATGTTGTTTTTATTCCTGTTTTATTGGTCAAGGAGACTGATGAATTAATCATTATCATCTTTTTTTTAATATACTAGCTGATGTTGTGTTGGTGATTATTTTGTGTCACAATGTCCAAATTGCATCATTTAAAAAATATGGGGAAATAAATATGTTTTTACTGATCCAAAGAGTATTTTCCTTGCATGTGTTGTTTTAACTTGTTTGAATCCAAATTATGTTTTATGTAACTGTGTAAAAAGAAAAATGTCTCTATTGCATATGTTGTGATTCGTTAATGATAACAGTTTCATAATAGAAATATAGTTTTGCTACTTATTTTACAAGAATTTCATGCTCATGAATATTTTGGAGCAATAATAAAACATGAGGGTGTTTTTTACAATTGAAAAGTGAGCAAATATCCTGACAACCGTGAATTTGTACCTTAAATTAAACCCATTGATATTGAAGTTATCGACGTCAGAACTGTAAACAGAAAGCACAAAAAGGTGGACCTATACTCAATCCTTGCGTTCTGATTGGCTGTCATGCCCGTCAATCACACAGGCACCGCCTCTTTCCCGGACCAGGCTCGGTTGAGTCGTTGGATTGAGGAGGGTCGCGGCCGCGATGGTCTGACAGATGAAATAACGAAAAAAAGGAAGAAGGCGGGCGTCTTCCCACACAAAACAATGTTCCCCAAAGGCAAAGGCACCCCGGTGCCGTCGGACAGCCAAGCGCGAGAAAAGTAAGCAGCGAAACGTTTATTATTCTGTATTTTTCCACCACGTAAGTTGCCTTCTGTTGTTTGCTGGGGAGGCTAGCGAGGCGATTTCCTCCTACGGAGAATGGAATTGAATGAACCGCCTTGTCTGCTCGCCATTCCTCCCCTTGAGCTGTTTCTGCTGCCTTTTATTTTTTTGCTTTGTTGCTGTGTTTTTTTACACCCCAGCGACCGACCCCTGGGGCAGCCCGGGGGTGTTTTGAGCGGTGCTGGTCAGACGTTTTTCGCGGTATTTCTAAACGAGAGCACGGTAAAGCGAGAGCACAACAACACCGCTTCAGCGCATTGTTTTCTCTGTTGCGCTCTCTCTCTGGATAGGCTTCGGTTTTATTGCCCTCTTCATCAGCGCTATCAAGACACTGTACAAGGCTAACACGACAGGCTGCTGCTGCTTGTGTGCCCCTCCACACTTTCTTCTGTAGCTTAGCACGATGTAGGAAGTCTTCAACAGGCTTGGCTTGTTTTCCAGTCCCCATTAATTTTTGGCATGGGGCTATTTGGCAGCCATTGTTCACACACAGGGCCTGAGCAGACCACTCAGTGTTCCCCTGCAGGAAGAATTACTGTTTCACGACCAGTTTGCTTTTAAAGTGCCTACAATTATTATTTATGTCCCCCTTTATTTCCACACAGGTTGGCTCTGTACGTGTATGAGTATTTGTTACACATAGGAGCACAGAAGTCTGCACAGACCTTTTTATCAGAGGTATGTGGAATTTGGGGTAAAAGTTCAAGCATGTTATCATGTCCTATTTTTAACACTTGATTTTATTTTCCTTTTAAAACACAAATATAATGTGTTTTTAATTATGTGTGTCGCCTGTAGATAATTCTTGAAATCCCTTTTTCGTAGATCCGATGGGAGAAAAACATAACACTCGGAGAACCCCCTGGCTTCCTACATTCCTGGTGGTGGTGAGTCTCATCTCGCTGTATTGTAACATGGTTGTCTGTGCGCTTTTTTTTTGTTTGTTTGCTTCATGACCCCTCTTGTCCACAGTGTTTTCTGGGACTTGTATTGTGCTGCACCAGAGAGGAGAGAGACATGTGACCACTCCAGCGAAGCGAAGGCCTTCCACGATTATGTGAGTATTGCTTAGGAGGAGCTGTTTTAAAGTAGTCGAGGCAATAGCTCTTTCCTTTACAAGCTAAATTAATGTAAACGACATGTCGTCGGCTTGGGTTGGAATTTTTAGGGGAACTATCAAGAGGAAAGTGATCGTTATCTCTGTCTTACAACACTCAAGTTCCAGCAAAATTTCCCTTTTTGAGGGAGATACGGCTGCCATTAAAGATCCACCTTTGAAAGAAATCCATTGGATTTCTTCTTTTTAAATGTATATGCTCATTTATTTACATTACAAGTCAAAATGTAGTCTGTAAATCTATATCTTTATAATCTGTTGGGGTGTTGATAGAATGATACCCCGAACAATGAGCCTCATAGGCTTCTGGGAAAATGGAGCTGATGTCAGCATTTCTCGAGTAAGACCATCATCACCCCCACCCAAGCCAATATCCCTGTCTTGAATATGAAGATGAAGGGCAAATATAGTGTCTTTTGCATTCTTGAGCTTTTCACTTTGTTTTTTTTTTTTTATTCCTTTTTGGGATAAAGACCTCCAGCTGCCTGTATATGGCAGCTCTAGTACATGTTGAAGCGTAACCAACAATATCATAATCCTAATGAGTTTCAAAGTGAAAAACCATAGAGACAGGCCCACACACTGACTTTACAAAATGTCCAGAACAATGTGTGTGTCTCATCTGGTCGTGCGTTGCTCCGCTTATGGTAGCACTTCCATATTTGCATGATATGGATGTTTTGCATTCTTGATAATTATGCTATATTTCAGATGGAGGCATTTTCATTTGCTGCACTGTTTCCAGCTTTGAATCAGTGCTAAAAAATAAATAATAATAAAAAAACTATGCAGATTAGAAAATGTTTGTCAGTGGACTCTATTTGTTGTTGTTGTACTCATCTTGAAAGATTAGGCAAACGTGTAGTTCATGCAAAAACCACACACAAATGATACGGTTTTGCTATATCGGCACAAAAGATGCATTTGCGGTTAAGCGTTTTCCCGGATTATTCATGCAGAACTCAATTTGTTGGTAGGTCAGTGGCGTCTCAGGCAGTAGAGGGTTAAAACAGAGATGCTGGTCCTGCTCTTGGCAGATAGGGTTGTCAGGGTAACAGGCCTCTAGATCTGCCAGGTGACCTGGGAGTCAGGAGAGGCTACAGTTTGACTCTGCCCTTTTAATAAGCACATTCCTCATTATTCCAAGCCCTCTGCTGGGGGAAGGGAGCATATTTTATTTAATGTCAGCCGTATTTCACCATCTTCACAATAACTGATTACAGTTCGGGTTTATTTAGGTACATTATGATGCTACATTGGGGGGGGGGATGGTATTGGAGAAGCTTGATTCCACGTGGCATGCAATTTGTGATTTGGAATTCTTTGCCATATCGATATTATAAACAATGATCTAGCGATGTCAATAAATATGTGCAACGCTTATTTATACTCATTTTCAAAATATCCCTGTTTTAAACAAAGATTCTTTTGGATTTTTTTTTTTTTTTAATGACACAAACTCTTAAACTGCTTGCTTTGGCCTGAGACGTTTTCATACCATGGAAAACATTAGGAAAATGAAGGCACTGATAATGATCATGATAAAACATCAGTGTGTGATGCTGTGGTGTGGAGGATCTTTGAGTTTCTGTAGTATAAGCTCTGTGACATTTTGTGTCTCATGTTGGCTTTCTTTGTGATTATTAGGGGTCAGTCGCTAAATGAAAATGAAAAATTAGGGGTCAGTCAAATGTGTGTGTGGACAGTAGTAGTCCTTGGACCCTTGCCTTTGTCTAGGTGTGGGGGGAGGTGAGTGTTGCTCTGTTAGCCAGCAGTGCTCGTAAAGCCCTGGCGTATTCACACTGGGCCCGTCGACGCTCCCCGAGGGCTCCGTCGCCATGGCGCAGCGGCTGATTGATGGCTGTCACTGAGCTGAGGGCAGATTGGACGAAGAAAAGGGAGTGGCGTTGTGGCATATGCCCAACATCCACCACAGCAGAGGAGCTGAGGGAATAAAATGAGGATGGGGGGGTTGTTGGAAAGATGAAGAGAGAGATGAGGAGAAGAGAAAGGGACCTGCTGGAAGTATCAAGAGGGAAAGAAAGAGAACATCCAGCCAGGATCCTGACTGGGTTTTATGATGTTGATTGATGGTTAAACATTTACAAGTTAAACATACAGGCTTGTTTCGTTTGAGCCGTGGTTCCAGCGGACAAAGTGAGACTGTTAAAAGTGCACTAGCTCGTGATTCAGCAGCTGGGTGGTCTTTTCTGTTACACAAGCATCTACATTAATTCTCCTTCATCCACTTTTAAAATATTTTTGTACTTGTGTTTGTCTCTGTGTCAGTACATTTTACAGATTCAGCTGCTTGGTCATCCCCACACAATTTTCTTTTATTCTTCCTCCCCTTGTCTGTCTCCCCCCCTCCCCCTGTTTTGGCAATCACACACACATCCACCACCGTTCTGCCCTTTAGTAACCTCTTTTCAGTGATCCAGGTATGTGTTGGCTGTGATTGCTTGTGTTGTTTTTAAGTACACCCATGTACATGTGCTGAATCATGATTGGGGGGAGGGTAGTTTGCCTTGTGAAAGTTCCCTTGGGTAGTTGTAGTAAAGGCCCCTGACAAGCGACCCGTAGCCTCAGGCAGGGCTAAGACATCTGCCCTTTTCTGCTACCAGAGCCTGTAGAGTGGGGTTCACTTGAACTGAACGCAGCGGTATAGCACAGCTGTGGGCTTCAGACGACCTGATGATGATCTTACTTAATGTTCCTGGAACTCACCCTGCATGTGCCCCGTTTGTCTAACAATTTAGGCTATTTTACAAGACAATGCAACATTTGCAGTAAATAAATAAATAATAAATAATGCAGTAAATCACTGTTTGATACTTGTAAAAAGTGTACGTGTGCATAAATTTTAGACCGTAACGATTAAATTTTTGCACAGAACTTACTTATTTTGAGCACCAAGAATCTCAAAGTTGACTGACCGATTGAATAATAATGTGTTGTCATTGTATGCTCCCATACAATGGAGAAATTGGCTCTCTGCATTTAACCCATCCACCCCCAGGTGGGGGCACTGGGCAGTTATTGGAAGCGCCCAGGGAGCAATTGGGGATTGGGTGTCCACTGTCCTGATCAGAGACACCACAAGATGTGCAGTGACTGGGGATTGAGCCTGGGAATTTCAGGTCCCGAGTCGGCTGCCGTGCCACTACCCCATCTAATAATTAATCCTACTACTATTATTATTATTCACTTGTTTATTTTATTTTTGTATTTTTATAACCTGCATCATCCACACCTGTACCTCCCATGATGATTCAAGGCAGACCAAACTTTTTTTTTTTCCAATTAAACAATGGGGGACAACAAAGAATGTTGATCCTAATATAATGCAAATTTTTGAAACTACAATGTATTTCACCCACCAGTGAGACTGGAAGAGCTGTAATTTTTAATTTCAGAGCATTGTATATTTAACTGGTTAGATGTAAAACATTATTTATATAGAAAAAAATACAAATATTCGTAGACTACTTTAGTATTCCTAGTGTTCAGTCAATAATCTGTAGCACAGGTATAAATATGTATGGACCTGTATCAGACCCCAGGGCTTAATTATTAAAGTTTTATAACATTGATAAATTCCAACAAAATTCACACCTTTTCGGCTCCAAATATATATTTTTCATCGGCTGTGTATGAGCCGAAGCAGATCTGTTCTTGCTCAGGTTTGTTTTTAATAATCAGGACTGTGAAATTAAATATAAAACATCATAATAGCAGGTGACTAGAGTTGATGCTGGCAATACATTTCACAAGTGCAACATGTTTGCATGTGAGGGTGAAATATGAGCAACTTTTAGGCAACGTTTAGTAAAAAACATACACTTTGGGTTACTAATTAACAGTGTGTTTACTAGGGGTGTAACGGTACGCTAAAATCACATTTTGGTTCAGTTTCAGGGAGGACTCGGTTCGGTTAATTTTCGGTACAAAAAAGGCCAAAATAAAGACTTACAAAACGTTTATTTTGAAAATATGCCAAGTAAACAATACGTTTGTATAAAAATAAATAAAGCGACCCATTTGAATGATATTTTAAATAAATGGCACTCTTTACAATAAATAAACTATACTAACGATAATAAAAATCTTAATAAATACAATAACAGTCAGAACCAGAACAATAAGCAGCAACATACGTTTACAATGTAACTACTCAAGTTTTAAGTGTTTGTCCAAAAAGACCAACTTATCCACATTTTCTGCCAAAAGCTCAGATCTAGGCAGCACGGTGGCGCAACTGGTAGAGCTGCTGCCTCTCAGCGAACAGGTCCCTGGTTCAAACCCCGGTCCAGGGGCCTTCTGGGTGGAGTTTGCATGTTCTCTCCGTGCATGCATGGGTTTTCTCCGGGTACTCCGGTTTCCTCCCACAGACCAAAAACATGCATGTTAGGCTGATTGGTAACTCTAAATTGTCCCTAGGTGTGAGTGAGAGAGTGAATGGTTGTTTGTCTCGTTTGTCTCTATGTGTCCCTGTGATGGACTTGCGACCCGTCCAGGGTGTACCCCGCCCCTCGCACAGTGATTGCTGGACATGGGCACCAGCGACTCCCGTGACCCAAAATGGAATAAGCGGGTAAAGATAATGGATGGATGGATGGATGGATGGAAAGTTAATAAGATTATAATTTAAAAAAGAAAAAAAGTTAATTAGATAATAATAATAAAATAACAATACCTCTTTTTGAACGGTCATCATTTGTTATGAGGTGGTTGAATCTCCCGGTAATCATCAGGGCAGGGCTTTAATCCGGTCCAGTGCTTGTTGACAATATCAATCAGAGTCAGAGATTCTTTATTGTCATTCGCACCTCATGTGGTACATGTGGTGGAGCGAAATTATGTACACTGGGTCCCAGTTACATCCAACAATAAAATGTAAAAGAAAAACAGTAATAACATCTAACATACGAACCAAGAAA